GACGGAGAGATCTCTAAAGGCAGGTGTTGGAACTTGTGGTTTATTGCAAAGGGTGTGGGTGAAAGGGCCCTGCTTGGACCTGCCAGCCACAGCTCAGAGCAGGCCTGTGAGAACAGGAGGGCAAGAGTAAAGATAGGGGTAAGAGAGTGAGGTGTAAGAGCGTAAGAGGTAGGAGGTAAGAGGGATAAGAGCGGTAAGAGAGCGAGGTTCCCGTTACAATACAATCAATCTTCTTCTGTGTTGAATATTCTAATTTTCACTAACCAATCTATTACAAGATACAAATCCTAAAGCATTTACATACAGCCTGTAAGAATCACTACATTACCATACTGTGTTACACTTTAAACCCTAGAAACTAGTCTTTGGACCCCCTCTGCCAAGCTAGTAGGGTCTTCCCTGCCCTTTGGACCTGTCTGCAAGCAGAGGGGATTGTTCAGTCAAGAGGGGATTATTTTCAGCTGGCCATACTACTGTTTTCTAGTTGTTCAGTAACTAAGGTTTGGTATCTCAAAGATGGCTTTCATTTTGCTTATAGTTTCCATATTCTCAAAATCTTTTGCCAGGCAATCATATCTATAAGGTTTTCCAATTTCATCTTCCCCAACAATGAGTAGTTTTGTCTCAGAGGCTCAGCTAGATTGTTTTAATGAAATTAGACATTTGCCCTACCTACACTCTGTTTTGTAACCTAACCATTTAATTGCATCATGCTTTTTCCTACAAATCATCTGATGATGATTCCCAGGACAAGCCTTCACCTCTTTTCCTGCATGTTTTAATACTTCACCTATTACTATATCCTGCTTGTAGATATCACTAAATCACGAGGGGATTGGTCACTACATAAATCAGAGCTCTTTTTTAAGGATTTCTAACCTGGCAAATGGAGCATGTGAGTGAGAAACAGAAGCATCAGAACTCTGCAGCCTACAGACTGTCCAGAAAGGACAGGCAAGGACAGAGAGCAGAGCGTTTGCCCTACATGTGAAAAAATAGATAGAATGCACAGAACTGTCTTTGAAAATCAGTGATCAAGAGGCTGAGGGCTGACAAGTCAAATCTAGGGGCAAGCCAACAAAGGAAAACTCATGTTTGGTCTTCCTGCAAAGCACCAGAGCAAGGGAAGCTGTTGATGAAGTTTTCTTAACTTTGTCTGCAGGAAACGCTGTGCTCCCATGCTCTGATCCTGCTGGGGCATTCCTTGCTATCTCTTGGAAAAGCAGCTCAGTAAGCTGTAAGCAATCCAGCAGACTCTTGGAGAGTGTTGAGGACGATTTCTTAATCCAGGTGACAGCTGGATCAGAGAAGCATTACCAGTCCTGTTGCTTATTAACAGGGATGAACTATTAGAGATGACAAAACTGGTGTTAGCTCAGACTGCAGCAATCCCGCCCTGGTGGAATTCAGTCTTGAACACCTCTCCTGTGAAGAAAGGCTGAGAGAGCTGGGATTCTTCAGCCTGGAGAAGACTTCAGGGAGACCTTCCTGCTGCCCTTAAGTTTATAAGAAATACAGAGAAAGACTATAGTGATAAGAGAAAGAGCAGTGGTTTTCAACCAAAAAAGAGGCTGGACTTAAATTGAATATACAGAGGATTTTTTTTTCTTTTTAATTATTAGAATGGTTATGAAAAGGGCCAGAGAAATTGTAAATGCCCCATGATGGAAGTGTTTGAAGTCAGGAAGGAGGGGGCTTTGAGCAACCTCATGTAGTGGAAAGTTTCCTACCCATGGCAGTGGCTTTGGACTGGATGATCTTAAAAGGTCCCTCTCAACCCAAGTCATTCTATGGTTCTATGATAAACTGTAAACAATTTAGATTTTGTGATTTACTTCTATGATGAATGGAATTATTTTTTTAAATGGAGACTATTTTTCCTTCCCTGTTAATGTTTATTAATAAGATTATAATGTATTTGTTTTGATGGTGATTAGGATATAAGCCAATAAAAACAAGGAAAATCCCGTAATGGACCTGCACTCTAGATCCTCCTCAGCTATGCACACGCTCATCCCCAGAAATATTAACTTTTCCATAAACATGGACACACACACATACACACGGAGCATTTATTAAGCCCATACAGCAAAGTGGTTTTATGCCTGAGAAAAAAAACTTTCAAATAGTTAGCCTATAAATAGATGATAAGCTGCCTTTCTGGTTCAGTAAATAGTCTGAAAAAGTGCTCTCAGGAGCACCAACAGAAAAACCCCACCAAAGGCATGGCATGCACAGACAAGACAAATTTGACTGTGTTATGATGGCACCAGTCCTGTATCCCATTTCCTTTCTTCATCTGATGCTTGGTGTTTCTACACTGGGAATGGATTTGAACCAGGATCTTTTCTATCAGAGCTTGAATTTAGATGGAATGTAAAACGCTGCAATATCCAAATTCCTACATTATATTCCAAGGTACTCCTAACTTAGATTGAACATAAAATATTTCTGTTATTTACATAAAATGTAAAATGATATGCAAGCCATTTCTGCTCTATCCAAATTACTAATTTATACTCTGAGGTGTCTCTCACTTATACGGAGCTACTTACCATTGATGAAACACTAATTTTTGTAGTAGAAATATGGACATAATCCATGAATAATCTTGCAGGTCTTTGAAAGAACATAAAATTAATCTAATATTAAATAAACAATAACAATTTTCCATTTTATATTCAGTTTGTAAAATCTTTTGTCATATGAGCCATCTCTTTATTACATACAAGTACCATATTTGCCATTTAAGCTTCTGAGTCTCTATTTTTAAAAGCTTTGTGGAAGGAATTGTCAGGAAACCCCGTAAGGTCAACCCCTTCCCAAGCAAAACTAATGAGACTGAGTTTCTCAGTGCCTGTTTGAGGTGGGGAAGTCAGGACATGCACACATTTTGCTCTTCACTTTTGATAGGCTACTCTGAGAAAATAACATTGCATGAAAACCCAATCTGAGCTGTTAATGTATTTTGAATGTTCGCATCAATAACACGGAGAAATACCTTAGATGTGAGACCAGATGAAGCTTCAGCTGGCAGCCACTGGAGACAGAAACTGCATTAGAAAAAAGAACTAATCCAAAGCTGCAATCTTGCCAGTATCCTCTCACACTTTTGGAGCAGCAGAAACAATACCAAATGCAAATATGCCTCTGTCCACTGCACAGGCCTGGATCATCAGAGAGATGCTGGGATAAGCAGATGAACATTTGGCTAAGGACCAAGGAGCAGGGCTGGTTTTTTTTGGTTTTTGTTGTTGTTGTTGTTGGTGGTGGTGGTTGTTTTTTTTTTTAAGTATTGATAAGCCAAGACACAATCAAGGTCCCAGAAGGATTTCCAAAAGCGATTAGGAGCCCAAGTTCCATGAGTCCATTGGTCCTCCTGAAAATTCTGTATGGTAGCAAATGAACTGCACCACTGAACATCAAAATACCTCTGTGTTCGTGCTGCTTCTGCTAGGGTCCTCGATTTCAGAAGGGCAAAGTCTTTATCACAAAAAGGTTAGAAATTTCTTCCCCTTTTTTAGTTCACCTACCTTCCCCCAAAATGGGAAAGCTTATCCTCTTCTTAATAAAATTGTTGCTGCCCTATGAACTATTTTAACTGAAACTGTAAGATGAGCACTCAATCCCCTGGCTATGGCCACCCAGATCTTTGCTTTATAGAGGACAATTTGCTTTCATTTGATTGAGGTTTACCTAGCATAGAATTCCCTGCAATGCCTCTCTGATCTCATAGTGCAGAGTTGCAGGGCCTTTTTCGGGGGGAGAAATCCCTCTTGGACTGGTAAGTGACGCAAAGGTTGCAGTGTCCATCCTGGTGCCATCCCATGGTGGTGGGCCAAACTCTGCCCTCTCTATTTACACATCTTTACTGACAGGAATTGTGCTGTCCATCTGGGACCTTAGGACTGCTGCTCATACACATTTTGTCCTCAGAAATGAGATACCAATCTCTTGCATAAAGACTGCTAAAGAACTGCAGATTTTTTTTTTTTTTTACTTTATAGAAGAAAGTGTTCCCTCAATGTGATAAATACTGAGCATGACTTTTGCTCAGGCTGCAAATAGCAGATTACTTAATCATCAACTATTTAAGTATTTGTTTTGTCATGAAGTGAAACCTGTGAGCAAGATCGTATTACATGTAAAGTGGCTTCCTGCACCCTTAAATATTAATCCTCAAGAAAAAAATATTAAAGGTAGTCCCAGGGTCACTTTGGTAAGTCTGAGCTGATGCATCCTACTATCTTGTATCTCACATTAAATGTTCCTTGCCTTATCTTTTTGCCGACGCCAAGATTTTTGCAGCATCTGATTGGCCTTGGCAGAAGGATGGGGATGGGGATAGGGATGTAAGCTGGGAGGGACCCAGTCTTGGGAGGGCACAGGGGCCATTACCACTGGCAGCAGGGACAGGGCTGGAAAATAGTCAGCCCTGCAAAGGAAAGGGTTTGCTAAAGACCTGTGGTCTTTAGATGGAGATGATGGGAAGTATTAAGGAGGCAATTGTGAAACGAGAGAAGTCCCTGAAAATGAAAAAAAAATATGGAAACATGGGGTAGTGGAGACTCAGGGTGGAGGAGAAAGAGTGGAAGGCCGCAGGGGACTGTGCAAGAAACAGCGCTGCCTCTAGCCCATTGCCTGGTACCGCCGGTGCCAGCGCCACGAAGCCCCCGGGGCGCGGGGCTGGCCCGGCCTCGGAGCCCCTCGGCTGCCCTGGGGCAGCGCTGGCGCTCGGCACGGCCCAGGCACTGCCGGCTGCTGAGGGCGCCCGGCCAGGAGGCGGAGGCGCCGCCGGGGCCGAGCGAGGCGCTCGCCCTCACGACAGCAGGCCCGGGGCTGGGGCCGCCCGCTCCGACCGGCGCCGCCCGCCCGGGCGGGTCCGGAGCCGCCCCCTCCTTCTCCCCGCAGCGCATTCGCCGCGGGGGCCCCCCTCCAGTGACGTCAGCGCCGCCTAAAAATGCGCCCCGGCAGGCAGGCAGGAGAGCGAGCTGGACAGCGGCGACAGCAGCAGCGGGCCCCGCCGCCGCCGACATGGTGTCCCCGGTCACCGTGGTGAGTGCGGGCCGCGGGCGGGTAGGCGGGCGGGGCGGCCGCTCCGTCTCCCATGGTTACGCGGCCGGTGTCCCACTCCCGGCCGGTGTCCCGCTCCCGGCCGGTGTCCCGCTCCCGGCCGGTGTCCCGCTCGTACCCCGTGTCCCCGCTCCCGGCCGGTGCTTTCCCACCCGCTCCCCGGGCGCTGTCCCCGAGCGCGGCGGGCGCTCCTCTCCTCCGGCCACCGGCGGCCACCCCTGCCCCCGGGATGCTCACCCCGGCCTCCCTCGGCAGGTGTTGCTCCAGCGGTGCGCCTGCCCGGGCGGCTCTGCGCTGCGTCCTCCTCTTGTCATGTGTGTTTTTAAAAACATCTCCGGCACATCTGCTCTACGTGCGCTGCATCTGCTCAGAGCGGCGCTGTCCCAGCTGCCCTGGGCTCGCATCGCGGCAGTGCCCGGCAGCATCCTCCTGTCCCCGCCGCCTCTCTTGCTCTCGCAGGCACCTCTGCCTCGCCATCCGGAGGTGGCTTTACTGTCCAGGTTCTGGTTTGGGCTGAGGCGTGTGTTGACCTCGGTGTGGGGTAGACCTTTCCGTAGGCTGGGTGACCTCTCGCTGAGACCTCGTCTCGTCTGCAAGTCATCAGGCATTTCCACCACCTAACGACATGAGATTGGGATTGGTGTCACCTGCCTGTCTTATGGGGAGTCACGATGCTTAATTAACGTAACCAGCAATAAGGTAGCAACTCGCTGCTGTCCTGTCAGTAGGTGATGTGTGCAGCAGAACTCTTGGATTGATGGAACCAAGCTCGTAATCGAAGGAGCTGTGCCTTGTGCCAGCAATACAAGGAACTGCCCCTGCAGGTGAACAGGGGCTGTTCCAATGCTGAAAGAACCGCCAGAATAGCAGAGAACCTGCACTACATGCTGCTTTGCATGTTCCCCTTTCTAGAAAGTGAGGGTTTTGTTGGAATACCCCAGCAGACTTAACACATGCTGTAAGGATAACTGTTGGTGGGAAAATTTCCTGGTGCTTTGCTGTAGCACTGAACACCTACTGCTGATATCCTGGTTCCCTGTAGATCATTCTCATCTTGTTTTGAAATACTTTGGTTAAGGGCCAGGCTATTGCATATTCTCTGGAAGGTAGAAATCTTGTCCTGATCTTAACTCACAAAGCTGGCGTTCAAAACTTTTAAATTGCTTTGCCAGTTCTGCACAGCAGGCTGTATTGTTTGATCGTTTGGATGAATTTCCCCCGTTATTAACGTGTACCTGGTAAGTTCATCAGCAGCCTGGGGATGACTTTTATCTCTAGAGAGAGAGGGAAGTAGCTTGGAAATGGTAACATTGTAGTGCCAAACTTATTTTTTGGTGTTTTTCCAAAATAATTTAAAAGGTTTGGTATCTTTGTGCTTCTATGCCATAAACTAAATTCCCTCAGTAATGCTTTTCGTTATAGTGAACTGTGGATGTGTATCTTGGAAGTAAAATCTCATGTTGGGACAGTACTGGAATGGCTCAGAAACTGACAGGATTTGTTTCACGGTTTGCAGTAGGCAGTACTTGGCTGTTGTGATAGCGCATCGGAGTGGTCTTGCAGAGTGTTATTTCAACCGAGTCTTGAGGCAAATGACTAAAGCACGAGTATGTGTTGGGAAGGGTGTACAGAGTTCAGACTGGAAGGCTTTAGGAAGATAAACTGGGGAGGAAAATGAAAAAACCTTATTTTCACACTTGCCCTTTTGACATGTATCAAAGCACATTTCTGCTCTGTCTGTATCCCTGATGTGAACAATTTACTTCTCCAAAGGCAACTAATGCAGGTGTGAAGCTATGGGGAGCTGGAGGGACAATAGGACTGGGAGCTGTGACCAGAGCTGCACCTGTTTGCCATTGCAATGGAGCTGGGAGGGAAGGGCGACTGATCCTCCACACAGCTCACAAAAAAATAGAGCTGCAAGCCTTTAGTGTTGTGAGGAACAATTTTTCTCACATCTCTGTCAGTGGTTGCCAATTCGCTGTTCCTTTGAAGGAGGGCACCATGCTGCTCCACGCTGGCTGTCCCGTGGCCCGGGAAGAGCGGCTGGAATTGATGTCTTGCAGCAGCCTGTGTTGCCCAGGCGCATGGTGTGGCCCTTGCACAGCTAGGGGTGAGGAGCAGGATGGCTCTACAGCTGGTGGGCTCCCTCCAGCAAGGCTCTTGCTTGCTGAAGGGAAGGGCAGTGGCCATCGGTCTGGCCACAGCTGGGTGCTCGCCTTGGGGCCCATCCCTTATCTCTGTACTGCAGTGCCTTTGCTGCATAGATAGACTAAGTCTTTGGAGCCAGCATGGATATCACTGCCATGATGGGGAGATTCTCTGGAGGGGCAGCACCTGAGGCATAATCAAATTAACCAGAGGAATTGATTTTTCTGTAGTGTATGTCCTCTCCCAGCACACTGTAGCATCAGCCTCAATGAGGAGAGCACCAGAAGAGCACATGTGAGAGTGACAGGATTTTTCTTGCCTCTCTTAAAGTGATGGGCTTTGTACAGTACTGCAGCAGGTGGCCCTGGCTGCTTACACACAACCTGCTTTCCTGTGTCTCCCCCTTTCCTTCCTTAGGACACTCTTTAAACAAGAGTCAAAACCCATGGACTCCAAGCCTGCTGTACAACCGATAGCGGGAAGGAAGGAGGCATGGTCCATGGAGAGGATCAAGCTAGGACTGCTTGTTTGTGCCAGCTGCCAGGTGTGCGTCCTTGCCTGGAGGCTTGGAATGTCTGCCCAGTGCACGCAGAGAGACCACAGCATTGTGCAGAGCTCGTCAAGCTGTGGTCTCTGATGCTGCACAATTCCTATGTGCTGAGCGGGGAGCATGTCCACAAATAAACAAGTCTGATGTCAAAGTACCTTGTAACATATTGTGCCAGGTCCTCAGCTGGGATAAAGCTCTGGAGCCCGGCTGATGTCAGAGTCTAGAGGCAGGGAAGATGCATTTGTCTGCCATCCTGTTCCATCTGGTGAGCGATGCTCACTCTGCTTGGAAGTCACCTTGGAGGGAAGTTTTCACTGCTTACTCTGCTAGGCAAGCAGGAGCATCCTGCTTTGAAATTGTTATTCTTGATACTGCTCTGATTAAGAGCTGTTTTTTCTGCATAAAGCCATGTGGGCTGAGAGCCTGCAGTTAGAGCACAGTACTGATAAATAGCATGTTTGCTTCATGGATATATGAGGTTTAATTCCATTTTTGTTCAGGCATCACTGGTCCCACCTTAATAAAAGTGATTTTTGTCCAGCTCCCCCCACACCCAACACTATTGTCTAAGCAGTTTTTAGTGTGAGCTTGTGGGAGATAGCCCTTGCCTTTAGGGCCTTTCTGCCCAGCAGGCACCATGATTGCAGGAGCCACAAGTGTGCAGGAGATGAGCCTGGAGACATGCAGTCATTCTGACATTTACATAATTCTCCTTGCTCAGAGGCACCCTATTTTGTCCTTAAAGTTAGGACTAAACTTAGTGTCGAGCTTCACAACACTTTGAGGAAAACAGGGCATGGGAAATACAGATATTGATTGCCTGGGGGTAGATCTCTTTAGGGGGGAGTTATAAACGGTCTCAGTGTGTCTTTTGATTCACCTTGCTGCAATCCTATGTAAATGTCTTGTTTCTACCAGCAGGCTAGACTTCTCTCAAAAACTAATTCCTGTAGATTACTGCAAGACATGTTCTTGCCAAAACTGAGAAAAGATGAGATAACCCTTGTTACTGAATTGACCTTGAGACTTTTGTCAAGTTTGAATGAATGGTGAAGTTTCACGTTTTACTTCTCAGTAGATACCATCTTTGGAGGCAGATATGGCATCAGGTGGCATCAGGCATTAAATTTCCTGTTATGTATCAAAATGAGTGCCTTTCTGCTGGTCTCAAGTAGCTTCTGATTGAATCGTTGCTTGAGACTGAGGGAAGTTTGACCTTAAGCCAGCTGCTCATTTTTCAGCACATTCTAGGCACACCAAACAGATCCTCAGCTGTACGTGTCTCCCATGACTTCAGCAGAACTGGGCTGAGGCCATGACTTGGCCACTGTATCCCTATTTGCCTGTGTCTTTGATTTTTTAGGATATGGACAGCAGTACTATCCAGAGCACAATGGCTTGTGCTCCATTGCAGGAGGAGCTAATCAAGTTTTGTGGCTTTTTCCTGCAACTCTGATATAAAAGGAGTGTGATGACCAGGTTATCACTTAATTGATGTTTTAATTAAAGTTTCCACTTTCCTTGGTTGCATCTCTGGATTTGTACCCTCAATATAAAGGGCATAATCCTGGTAAGCAACTGCATACTCATTTATGAATGTGGTCTGTATTTGTTTATGCAGCCTGATTACAGCAGGGGTTTTGCAAGTAAAAGCCTTGGTGTACCAGTGTGAGTCCTGGAAATGTGTGGGTTAGTGTTTGTGCAGGTTAGTGTTTGCACCTTCCCACTCCACATCTGTTGAGACTGGCTGGGAAGATCCAATTTGTCTTCAGGTAAGTTGTGTCTGATACTGACCTATCCAGGTCACAGCATCTTGACACAAGAATAGATATTGGAAATAAAATCTGTGGCTCTGCTGTCATCCTTTGACCTTAACACCCTCCTCTCTCTTAAGCATATTGATCCCATGATAACATGAGGAGGGCTGCTGCTTTTTTGTAAGGTATCAGAGCAGCATATCTCTAAATACACATCTTTATTGTGATTCATTGGTATTTTTACCTTCTGATTTTCTTTAATATCAGTATTTCCCAAGCTTTCAACCTGCAGGACATGATACACAAGTAGAGTAAATCATTTAATTCAGCTTTCTAGTAGGCATAAGACAAGCTGAGCAGTCTCTGCTGGGCTTCCCAGCACAGCCCAATTTGCCTTTGCTGGTATTATTGCAATCCCGTGTGAGGATTCATACAGCAGAAGTCTCTTGTGCAGAGCCGCCAGCTTTCCCAGACACTGGCAGCCGCCTTCCCCTCCTGTTTCAGCTCTTCCTTCCTGTTCCTTT